GTATCTGAGTTAAGTAGGTATAGTCAGTTGGCTTAATGTAAAGTTGTTCGGTCCTTTGAACGCACATCACCTGAAGCATCTTGATGAGGCCCAAGGCATAGCGGTATAGATGAGTCCCGTTAGCGGTCGGATAAACGCTCACCAACGATGGTCAATAATTCGTGACCTAAACCGGCTAGACAACGAGCATATTGCACAATGGTTAGGGCGTTTGACTCTGATCAAAATGGTGACGAGTGCTAAGCTCCCTTGGGACGCTATTTGGGTCGGTGTATGGCTTGCTGACGACAGCTAATTAGGCAGAAATAGCCATTCAAGTCTTCTTTGCCTTTTTTGGCAATCCCGTCTGCCTAAAATCTCTAATAGCTGAATGACGACTATCAGTTGCGAACTTTTTATCAAGCAAATTTGATAATTTATACATAAAAAATGTAATCTTTCGAAATGCTTAATAACTAGCTTACTTACCACCCATGTTGCACATCGTTTTGTCCTTTTGACATTTAGGGCTCGGTATATGTGCATTTTCAGAGCCAAAATGAACTTTAGAATACGGAATATTAATAAATAGCACTAGCCATTGCATTATAATGTAAGGGATTCTGATATATGGTTTGCCGCATATGAGGTAAGGTAAAGCGTGCATTCCATTGGGCACCCTATAACTTACAAGTGACATCGTCTTTACTAAACCTGCAAATACGATGATGTGCAAATAGGCCTGACCCTTGGGTCCCGACAGACGTAAAATGCCATGGGGGATAACCTTTGTTCAGAGCGCCGCCAACATAATCCGCACTATTTGGGAAAAAAAATTCCAAAATGTTGTCAACGTCTGCACAATAAGTCATGTATTACATAAGTTTACCCACTATCTTAGTTTTTTTCTGTTAACGTGGTGCACGTATTAACTCAAGAAACGTCGATCATTCGCGAGAATACTTGATAACAAATGTGAAACCAGATTTAAAGTGGGCTATTTATTCCCACGTGCATCAGACCCATTACCACTTACACTGTTAATCCAAAGGGCTATTTCCTCTAAATATTAATACACTTGTCTGAAAATGATGGCTGTTTTAATTAACTTTTCCAATACAGCTTAATAGTGGATATTTTCCCCGATGGCAACTGTTTGAGTCCCTGGGATACACATGTATTCATTCAAAAAAAACAAATGCTATCTGTACAACAGTAGAAGTAACTTCACGTCTGAAGTGTGTTCTGTGGTAGTAACGAGAGTTGGTCAAGCATATTCCTAAACATCTTCCAAGTTGTGGACTATAATATTCCGCAAGGGTGAGGTCATTGAGTTGTCGGAAGATTGTACTTACAGCATGTTGAAAATCTATTGGTTCGTCTTTTCTAATTGTACATGTAATGCATTCACAATAAAACACATGTGGGGTTTACAACACAGAGTCTGATGCATGTTTGCATTCCGATACCATTTTTAACAACGTCGATAAACGTCTATGTGGTTTTGGAGGTCATTGTCAAATCTTCTCGTCATAGTGTTCCCTTCGGTGCGTTTCTAATTTTAAACGTGCGCATAGTGCCAGCAAACTTTGCCTTTTTCTCTTTTCTAGAGATGCCCCAAATAGCAATTTAATCAAAAAAGCTAACGAATTTTAGTTATAATGGACGAATATGCGTAAAGGTCCGAGGTCCAGTTATCCTCTCGCGTTCGTAATATCCGAATAGGAAGAAGAAGGCGGACAAGTTCTTGGAGCGAGTTAGGTTTATACTAAAATTTTAAAAGCACCCTCGTTTTTCATCTTCAGATTGTTAGACTTACTGGTTGACAAGCCCTGAATTAGCGTACTTCGAGTCCAGACTCATATTGTTAACGTGACCAGTGTACGTGCTTTCGTGCGCCCGTTGACCGTTGGTTAATTGTAGGCTCTCAACTACCGACCAATGGCTGGCTCGCGTCTCTAACCTGCCCTTTGTAACTGATGTAACTACGATTGCGTTAGCGTGTATATCAGCGTCCACCTCATCAGCCGGTTTACTTTTCGAGTGTTGGTGCCATTTAAGAGCATTTTTTACCTCGCGGACGCCTCCGTGAGAAAGCTTGCCACGCCAATCATGGTGAACATTTTTCACGTAGGGGATTGCGGGCCATAATTTTGGATTTTCTTTACTGAAAAAAACTACATATAAGGTCCAAAATGTATTTGCAAAGTAAAGTTCAAAAGAGCACCGATAGTTTCGAATTTGTGGCAATATTGCATTGCACCCGTTGAGCTCCTTAAGCATTAGGTCATGATGATATTCCTTAAGGAAAACTCGATACTGACGATGGAGTCACTCGTAGCCTTTTACAATCGACTAAATGTCCCTATGACGACTATGCGACCAGAAGATCAAAATGTCAGCTATGAATAGTAAATTTTGTACCAATAAATTACTAAAATATCCTTAAATCACAAATCTCATTAACAAATGCAAATACACCTATTATAGAACGCAAAGGGTATCCCGAAATGTACTGTATCCGTAAACTTTATTTGTAGTTTAAAAGCATGTGCCCCTCCGGGCGATATGAACACAGTCTGGTAAAATGCCTAAATGCTATGCAATAGGGTGGGCTTTGCACAAAATGCGCCAGAAACAGAACTATTTGTATGTTTTCAGTCTGCCTGTATATTGT